TAGAGAGGAATGTTGCTCAGCATGTGTAGTTGTGCACCTGGGGTTTCACTTTTGGATTTATTCTGTTTTGTTGGTCAAGGGGCTAGAGTCGATGACTTCTAATCCAGTTACCTTTCTGGCGTGGGTTCCATCCCCGGGAGATGCTTTCGCAGTTTAGAGGAAGGTAGTCTAGTACTGGTGTAACTCTCCAGGAACGATGGTTAGGAAACTACCCGCCTATATGACTGAAATACTGTTGGGAAAAGACGTAAAATGAAACAAACAAACAAACAAACAAAATTCTGTTTTGTCAGATTTATTGCCCTTGACCTAGTGAAAATCTGCAAACTTTGTGTCATGCATAGCTCAAAGTATGGTAATAAATGGTAGAAGCTGTTAAAGCGAAATGGTCTATATTAAATGGAAGGTCTGTTAAAGTAAATTGGTCTATATTAAATGGAAGATGCAGTTAAAGTGAATTGGTCTACAAATGTATAATATGGAAGGTCTGTTATACCATAAATAATTGGTGTAATGAAAGTATTTATAGTATCATATTTGATAACAAGCTAAGAATAATGTTGTTGGTAAGTGTGAGATACATGATCCAATACAACATATTTATATATAGCTTGTAATAAATTTTTCTAGAACAAAATATTTTTTTATCAAATAAATATCAATTCTTTATTTTAAACTTTAAAATTTTTTACAAGGAGAACGGGTGGATGGGTGATAACATTGGTGAGCAATGGTTCAACGATGTCTACATCAAGTTCTGCGGACCAGTTTGACCCAAGCTTTTAATACTAGATGGCCATTCATCACATGAAACTTTAGCTATCCTGATAAGGGCAATGGAAGAAAACATTCACATTCTTTCTCTTCCGCCACACACCACACATCATCTACAACCCCTGGATAGATCAGTCTTTGGTCCCTTAAATAGGAACTATAATTTAGTATGTCAGGAATTCCTCCAGGAAAACCCCCTTCACCAAATGAATAAGTGGAAATTTCCCGCCATCACAGCATGGGATTGCACCGCCATCCCACCTAACGTTAAAAGTGGTTTTCGTGCTTGTGGTATCTACCCGTTTGATTCCAATGTCCTTTGTGAAAAGGTATTTGCCCCAAGCGAACCGACGGATGTACCTTTATTTGCAACAAATATGTGTGTCTCGTCCATTCCATCTAATCATGACTTCTCGCACAGTAACGATACCTCTCAACAACGTTTCTGTACTTCTACTATCACTTCTTCTGGTGATTCGCACTCCAGCCTTGAAGCTGTCCCTTCGTTTAATACAACAACAGACCACGTTGTTACATTGCGCGATAACCGCCTCCGTGGTCGAGGGGTTAGAGTCGATGACTTCTAATCCAGTTACCTCTCTGGCGTGGGTTCGATCCCCGGGAGATGCTTTGGTAGTTTAGCGCGGAGGAAGGTAGTCTAGTACTGGTGTAACTCTCCAGGAACGATGGTTAGGAAACTACCCGCCTATATGACTGAAATAATGTTGAAAAAGGCGTAAAATGAAACAAACAAACAAACAAAAACATTGCGCGATGACCCTATAATTTCCGGGGACTATTCTTACAGTACTGTTGACGATCCAATATTCTAAACTCCTTTCATGGCTGATTCATCCGTCCGAGATATAAGTGACCCGTATGTATTGATTTCAGGACTTTACACCTCCTGAACGTTTCACCTTTGGTCTTTACACCTCCTGGACGTTTCATCTTTGGTCTTTACACCTCCTAGACGTTTCATCTTTGGGTCTTTACACCTCCTAGACGTTTTGGCTACTTATAAATAATATTGTATACTGTATGAATTAATATTAGTAAACTTGTTTGACATACCTTAGTTGTTTCACCTTAATTGGATTATATTGAGTGATTATTGAGATAACTCAATATAATATAAATTTGCATGATAGACATTGAGAGAATATTATTTTGTTTTTTGAAATTTATTATTAAGAAATTTTATTTAAAAATGACATTCTTGTTCAAATAAAATTTACCAAATATATATCAATGTATGAAAAACAGATAAATCAGATTTACTAAATTTTAATCAGAGTCAATTATTATATCTACAATGTATGCACAATACAATAACATAACATTAAAAAATAAACACTGTTAATTTCATCATATAATTTTATTTCCTATTTTATAAAAAATAATAAGAATATAAATTTATTACAAAAACTTGCTGAAAATGCTTTTAAAAAATCAAGTAGAATGAATTTATTACCAATTATTTCAAATTAAATACTTTAATAGAAAAATACTCTCTTGTAAAAAAAAAAGTTAAAATATTAAAAATCATGTAAGTAAATAAAATTTAATGTACTAACTTACAGATATATATCCAAATATCAACATTGGTTTAAGTGCTTCTTATAATGGTTAAGAATTTTATATGATCATTATATATTGTATGTACTTCTGAAGTTGTATTTTAATTAATCAATATTTTAATGGTATTTAATTTTTGGATAACAAAAAAAAAATGAAATAATAAATACATGTAGACTTATGGCTGATAATTCTTTCAGAACTCATATTTATAATTATTTTCCCAGGGAAATTTCACTATATTTATGTCAAAAAAATCTTCTTTATATCATGAATGTAATTGTTTGCAAGTAGGATATGTGTTATATTACATATATAATATTATAACCCATAATGGTATTTATTTCATATATTTATTATACCCCCAAAAACGAAGTTTGGGGGTGTATATAGGAGTCACCCGGTGGTCTGTTGGTCGGTCGGTCGGTCGGTCCAGACGTCCGTTGCATTTTCCTTGTCCGGACCATAGCTTGAAGACTAATGGTTGGAATTCAATATAACTTCATACAATGGTCAAGCACATTGAGAGGAAGTGCAGTGCACAAGAACCATAACTCTATCTTGACTAATTACAGAGTTATTGCCCTTTGTTACTTTTCCTTGTCCAGAGCATAACTTGAAAACTACTGGTAGGAATTCAAAACAACTTCATACAATTGTCAAACACAATTAGGGGAAGTGCAGTGCACAAGAACCATAACTCTATCTAAAGTAATTACAGAGTTATTGCCCTTTGTTACTTTTCCATTGCTATCTTTTGTCCGGAGTATAACTTGAAGACTAATTGTTGGAATTCATTATAACTTCATACAATGGTCAAGCACATTGAGAGGAAGTGCAGTGCACAAGAACCATAACTCCATCTTGACTAATTACAGAGTTACTGCCCTTTGTTTCTTTTCCATTGCTTTTTTTTTGTCCGGAGCATAACTTGAAGACTAATGGTTGGAATTCAATATAACTTCATACAATGGTCAAGCACATTGAGAGGAAGTGCAGTGCACAAGAACCATAACTCCATCCTGGCAAATTACAGAGTTATTGCCCTTTGTTACTTTTCCTTGTCCATAAGCATAACTTGAAAACTACTGTTTGGAATTCAATACAACTTCATACAGTTGTCAAGGACATTAAAAGGAAGTGCAGTGCATAAGAGCCATAACTCCATTTTGACAAAATACAGAGTTACTGCCCTTTGATACTTTTCCTTGTCTGGAGCATAACTTAAAACGTATTGGTTGAAATTCAAAACCACTTCATACAATGGTCAAGCACAAAAAGAGGAAGTGCAGTGCACAAGAACTATAACTCCATCTTCAGTATTTATAGAGTTATTGCCCTTTGTTTCTTTTTCTTTGTCTTTCTGGACTTATTACAGAGTAATTCAATAAAACTTCATCAATGGCCAACCACATTGAAAGGAAATGCAATATACAAGAACCACAACTATCTTTAATTGCCCACAACCATAACATTATATTTCAATTCTTTTACAAGATATTCTGTTACTAGTAACATCCTCATTTCCGAAGCAGTCTTCTGGGGGTATTAATCACATTTAGTGATAGTTCTAGTTAAATTTAAAAAGTGGAGGTGAAAAGACCAGGGTTTTGAGGGTGAAACGTCCAGGGGTGAAATATCCAGGAGGTGTAAAGTCCAAACACCAATGTATTTTTGCAAATGGGGAATGAGGGTGATCTGACCATGAACCCACTTTTTGATCAAAATGGCCATAAACTTGTCATTAATTCCTCTGCTTCTTCAGCTTTTTCCGAGGATTCTGTTATGTGTCTGTCACAGGTAAAACCCTGTATTGAAGAAGCTATCACGAGCTCAGAAGAAGGGGAAGCAAATAACGCGCCATCTTCTTCTGACAAGTGAAGATATAATCTCTGAAAAAATAAAAATTGAAAAGATTAAACAAGAGAAGGAAGCTTAACAATCAACACTAAAAAAGAACTTAAAGCCAAAAATGACAGTTAATGTTCGTGATAAAAAATAAACAACTTATTGTTTATAAATGATGAAATAATTAAAGAAATAATCCATTAACCAGTACAAACTTTACTTTTATTCGTGCTCTGAATTTTGAATCGACTGAATTTGCAATTTATTGTTGACGAACTCCGTTGCTACGAACAACCTGTTCTATTCAAAACTTTCGATCAGTTAATTCTTCTTCAAAGATTAAAATGTAAATTAAAATGCAATGTGTTGTTGTTGTTAAAACGTTCTGACATGTTTTAAATAATTTCTTGAAACATTTTCAAATTATCTTAAATGTGTTATTATAATTTATAATGCAACTACAATATAAAATAACAAGTTGTGAATCCATTGTCCACTAGTATACGATAACAGATGGGTATAACTATGTTAAAAATATAGTGTGGCCTCAAAAAAAAATACCCGTTTAACATATAAGCGTGTCAAAGATAATAAGAATCAACAGGATTATGGTCGTTTGAAGGTGTGGAAAGGTAGCAATTCATTAAATTGCTGGTGGTCGCCAAGCTAATGATTTGTTCAAATGCACTAGTGGCGTATCATACAGTTGTTGAGTTTTATTAGCTTTAGATCTCTATTTGTATACATTCGAAAATTAATTTTCATAACATAATTATACCCCCGTTTGAAAAACGGGACATATTATGGGAACGCCCCTGGCGGGCTGTCGGGCGGGCGGCATCCAATTTTGTCCGGAGCATATCTCCTACATGTATGGAGGGATTTTAATGAAACTTCATAGAAATGTTCACCACTATGAGGAGCAGTGTCGCGCACATGAACCAGGTCTCTAGGTCAAAGGTCAAGGTCACACTTAGAGCTCATTGAAAAATGCTTGTCCGGAGCAAAACTTCCACATGCATAGAGGGATTTCAATATTACTTGGCACAAATGTTCACCATTGTGAGGCGGAGTGTCGCGCGCAAGATTCAGGTCCTTGCGGCCAAGGTCAAGGTCACACATAGAGGTCAAAGTGCAGATAAAAATATGAAGATGTGTATATGGACCATTTAGTCATCATTTATTGAGGGATTGTAACACAAGTGGTCATTATCAAGACTATGGCTGTGATACATATAATTTAGGTCAATATATACAAGGTCAATGTCACTAAAGATGATGAAATATCCAGATTTTGTCCGGAGCATATCTCCTACACGCATGGATGGATTTTAATGAAATTTCATAGAAATGTTCACCATTATGAGAAGCCATGTCATGCACATGAACTAGGTCAAAGGTCAAGGTCACACTTAGAGCTCATTGAAAAACGCTTGTCCGGAGCAAAACTTCCACATGCATAGAGGGATTTCAATATAACTTGGCACAAATGTTCACCATTGTGAGGCGGAGTGTCTCGCACAAAATTCAGGTCCCTGCAGCCAAGGTCAAGGTCACACATAGAGGTCAAAGTTTAGATAAAAATATGAAGATGTGTATAGGGATGATTAAATCATCATTTATTGAGGGATTGTAGCACAAATGGTCATTATCATGACTACGGCTGTGACACATGTACTTTAGGTCAATATATGCAAGGTCAAGGTCACTAAAGATGGTGAAATATGCAGATTTTGTCTGGAGCATATCTCCTTCATGTATGGAAGAATTTTTATGATACTTTATGGAAATGTTCACCACCATGATATGTATTGCTCCATGCATGATCCAGGTCAAAGGTCAAGGTCACACTTAGAGCTCATTGAAAAACGCTTGTCCGGAGCAAAACTTCTACATTCATAGGGGGATTTCAATATAATTTGGCACAAATGTTCACCATTGTGAGGCTGAGTGTCGCACGCAAAATTCAGATCCCTGCGACCAAAGTCAAGGTTACACATAGAGGTCAAAGTTCAGATAAAAATTTGAAGATGTGTATAGGGACCATTTAGTCATCATTTATTGATGGATTGTAGCACAAATGGTAACTATCATGACTACAGGTGTGACACATTTAATTTAGGTTAATATTTGCAAGGTCAAGGTCACTGGAGATGATTAAATATCCAGATGTTGTCCGGAGCATATTTTCTACATGCATGGAGGAATTTTAATGTTACTTTATAGAATTGTCCACCACCATGAGACGTAGTGCCCTGCACATGAACCAAGTCTCTAGGTCAAAGGTGAAGGTCACAGTTAGACGTCATAGAAAAACGCTTGTCTGGAGCTTCTACATGCATAGAGGGATTTCAATATAATTTGGCACAAATGTTCATCATTGTGAGGCTGAGTGCCGTGCATAAAATTCAGGTCCCTGCGACCAAGGTCAAGGTCACATATCCTGTGCATATCTTCCCTACTGATTTGTTTTAAGGTTCATTTAACAACACTGTGCCAAGAATAAAAACTTGCTTCCTAGATAACACTTATCCATAATGCCCCCATCTCCATCTAAAGCTTTCGTAAACGGGCGTATTTTGTGACTATGGCACCCTTGTTTTATATAGATAATGAAAAAAAAAAGATGTAAACAAGGGACTCCACTGAGGTTTTTTTACATGAGGGGACTGAAAATACTTTTTCCAGATAAATGTACCATTTGATGTAGGTGTAGACCACGAATCTTTGTGCAAACTTTCAGATCATTCACGCACTTCGTTTTTCCATTATGATTATTCAAATTGTAAAGAAATGACCCAAAATGAAAAGTGTTTAAACGCTTTTCACTCAAATAAGGCTAAGAAAAGCATAATACTACGATTTTCGATTTATTTTAAGGTGTATTTCTTAACTATCTTTGCATATATTCCGTTTAAAGCGCCCCAGTTCATTTATGTAAGAAATTCTAATGTTATGATTTTTAGGCTTTTAAACCTCAGTGTAGTCCCTTTAATTATGTACATTTGTGAAATGAAAAGATCTTCATTTCAAAAAAATAGTTCAAATGTCCTTACTGTATCCTGCAATTTAAATAAAATGGTGTCCGAACTTTTGAGCAGATGTCCGTGCTTTAACCTCTATTGTCCGTACTTACCCAGTTTTACATAGCTCAATAAATGTGCAAATTGTGATATTGTTTGGCATAACGAAAACGTCCGTGTAGATTGTCATCCAAATGACAACAGCCAATCACATTTAGGATATCTTTTGCATAATGTCATGGCGGAAAAACCCCTACTTTCGATTTAAACATCCGTGATAATTAATATATATATAAATAATGTACTGTTAACTTTTATATCAGTTCTTTGAATTTACATAATTAAGGTTGACTTTTACCCGATATATTGGAATAAACTAAGTCATAAAACAAGTAATAGTTTGTATTACTTTTGTGTTCGAGGTTTTTATCCGAAGTTTGACGAAAAGGGCGGAGAAGTTGTGATTAGTCAATTGTGAAACAATTAAAACCGCCATGTCTGTTTGTAAATGGTAAGTTTTTACTCTTTTATTTATTTATTTATTATTTTATTTAGGAAGAAATATGTAAGCAGCCATATAGCTTAGTTGTTAAAGCCGCAAAACGGTATTCCAAGGGTCCCGGGTTCAAGTCCCGGTTAGGCGACACATTTTTCGCACCCTGTAACATTTGTGGTTTTTCCGTGAAGTTTGTACGGAGGCCAGGCATGCAAATTATGTTGAAATTAAATATAAGAATTAAGTTGTTATAATGAAAAGATGATGAAATGGAATGATATAGGAATGATATGGGATAATGGATTGCATATCGGACTGTAGAGAAACACAGATAAGAGACAAATACAAGAGATATCTATACAAAAACAAGGACAAAATGATGCATACAAAACGATATTAATAACGAAACACGAATATCGACCACATAACATTTAGAATAAATCACTATATTTCTAGCCTGTTACAAACAGACTAATGACTTATTTTGCATGGTTTGACATTCTCTGTTTAACTTAAGTAGAGCTGATAAGAAAAACTGTTAAAGACAATACTTATTTTCTTTTACAATAACATAATACGCATTTAAAAATATTGTTCAGGCGACTAGCTATCGTGTTTATGCTATCGTCTTACATATCATTTTAAAGCAATTTTCATCGATCATATCTCATGTTAAGTCATGGTGAAACTAAATAGAAAAATCGTTAAAAGAATGAAATAAAACCCAATCTTGATTACAATAGAGACACCTGACTATGTTTTGTTTTTCTAATAGTAAATAACCTTCGGTGTACACGTTAGACTTTGTGTCTTTGTGCAATAGACAATAGTAGGACAATTAAATGTCATTTCATCGCTTAGATATCCCCTAAATCCCTGGTTTTAGCGCAGAGCAATTTTACACAACTCTGGCGACCCTTCGGCTATAGGTATACTGAAAAAAGCCAAGGTATCATAGACATATCTCAACGCAGTAACGGGATTGAAATGTTTCTCTGTTTGACTTACATTTTTAAACTCTGGACACAATGTCCTACATAGTACGATATGGCGTGCATATTGTAAAATTGTATAAAAAATATTTGTTCAATATGTTATATTTATGTCTTATACAACATATTTGTGAGGTTAAAAAGATATATTTATAATTATGCACAGTAATATATATGAATATATGGACAATATGAAATATATTTGAAAAATAAGAAATATATATAGACAATATTAATAATTAGAAAACGAAATGTATTTATGTCTTAAAACATATTTATGGGGTAAAAATATACTCGCTACAAGTTTTAACTTTAGCAAGCACGGGTGATTTCTTAACTGGCTAGGAAGTTGCCTATCTCTGTTATCTATGTCCCTGCTACTAATCACAGTCACACTTATCATTTCCACTACACTTTAGTCTATTTAATGAGGATGATCATGCTTTTTCTGAACTTTGTGCTTAATTTGTAGCCGGGACTTAAAATGTTAATTGAATTCTCACACAATCCCCTTTCCCGTCTACCGGTTCCGAGGCCAGCTGCCATTTTGCAAACCAAAGAGATTGGTTGTTACAAACTTAATTTGACTCTCCTATAATTCTAATTAATGTCCATATATCATGTATATACTTTTTTCACCTCATAGATATTTTTAAGAACATAAATATATTTTATGAACAATAATTATTTTCTAATTATTGTCTCTTTATATTTTTTATTGTTCATATATATGTTTACTGTGCTTTTATATTATAATTCTAAACTCACAAATATGTTTTTAGAACATAAAAATAATTTATTGAACAAATATGGCATGTTAAACGTTGCATTATTCTATAAATTATTTTTTTCTCTATATCCAATATTTATTTTGTATATTAAAGCTACATAAAATGAATATGTGAAAATATTTGGCCGTCGGCCTAAAAACCAAGCATTCTACAGTTTCATTAACCTTTTTAACAGTATTGTTGTAAATGTCATCAAATATTGTTAATAAATAAGGATTTTAAAAGGAAAACCCCACGGTAACACTAAAGTTCGTATACGAATTTAAACACGAAATGAAGACTATAATCAGCTTGTGTATGCGTTACGTCACAGTATTATAAATGCTTTCCGGAACACAGCAAATATGAGAATATCTTGTGCAAACACACTTTAACCGTTTTAGTTTCACGGTGCACTAGGCCTGACGTTCAGAAAAAAGTAATCATCTCATAAAACAAGATTAAATTTGTATGAAAACATCCGTTATATAATGCGAAAATATACCGTTAAATTAGGACTGCTACTTATAGCCATGTTTGTTGACTTAATATTGATATACGGATGATCCGAAGGCGGAGTTTAACATGCAAACAGAAATTGTACTTTTTGATTTCGCCACAATGAGGTTGCCCATTTTTGGTCGGGTTGCACTGGTGCAAACCCGGGTTATAGTATGGTGAATGTTGGGCGGCGGGCGGCGGTCGGGCGGGGAAAAAAACTTTCGTAACAGTTTTCTCAGCAACTACTTATCACAGCCTCTTGATATTTGGCATACAGCATTGACACATGGTCCAATACCGTGGGATTCGATTTCAGGTCTGTCGCTCATCCACTTCCTGTTTATCCACTTAGTTAAATTAGTTAGATTTTTCGACATTAATGGTCAATGCTAGGAAATTTTCGTAACAGTTTTCTCAGCAACTACTTATCAAAGCCTCTTGATATTTGGCCTACAGCATTGACACATGGTCCCATACAGTGGGATTGGATTTCAGGTCTGTCTCTTATCCACTTCCTGTTTATCCACTTAGTTTAATTAGTTAGATTTTTAAACATTATTGGCCAATGGTAGGAAATTTTCGTAACAGTTTTCTCAGCAACTACTTATCACAGCCTCTTGATATTCGGCATACAGCATTGACACATGGCCCCATACTGTGGGATTTGATTTCAGGTCTGTCGCTCATCCACTTCCTGTTTATCCACTTAGTTAAATTAGTTAGATTTTTTGACATTAATGGTCAATGGTAGGAAATTTTCGTAACAGTTTTCTCAGCAACTACTTATCACAGCCTCTTGATATTTGGCATACAGCATTGGCACATAGTCCCATACTGTGGGATTTGATTTCAGGTATGTCGCTCATCCACTTCCTGTTTATACACTTAGTTAAATTAGTTAGATTTTTCGACATTAATGGTCAATGCTAGGAAATTTTCGTAACAGTTTTCTCAGCAACTACTTATCACAGCCTCTTGATATTTGGCATACAGCACTGACACATAGTCCCATACTGTGGGATTCGATTTCAGGTCTGTCGCTCATCCACTTCCTGTTAATCCACTTAGTTAAATTAGTTAGATTTTTCGACATTAATGGTCAATGCTAGGAAATTTTCGTAACAATTTTCTCAGCAACTACTTATCACAGTCTCTTGATATTTGGCATACAGCATTGACACATTTTCCCATACCTTTGGATTTGATTTCAGGTCTGTCGCTCATCCACTTCCTGTTTATCCACTTAGTTAAATTAGTTAGATTTTTTGACATTAATTGTCAATGGTAGGAAATTTTCGTAACAGTTTTCTCAGCAACTACTTATCACAGCCTCTTGATATTTGGCATACAGCATTGACACATGGTCCCATACTGTGGGATTTGATTTCAGGTCTGTCGCTCATTCCACTTCCTGTTTATCTACTTAGTTAAATTAGTTACTTAGATTTTTCGACATTAATGGTCAATGGTAGAAAATTTTCGTAACAGTTTTCTCAGCAATTACTTATCACAGCCTCTTGATATTTGGCATACAGCATTGACACATGGTCCCAAACAGTGGGATTTGATTTCATGTGTGTCGCTCATCCACTTCCTGTTTATCCACTTAGTTAAATTAGTTAGATTTTTCGACATTAATGGTCAATGGTAGGAAATTTTCGTAACAGTTTTCTCAGCAACTACTTATCACAGTCTCTTGATATTTGGCATACAGCATTGACACATTGTCCCATACCGTGGGATTTGATTTCAGGTCTGTCGCTCATCCACTTCCTGTTTATCCACTTAGTTAAATTAGTTAGATTTTTTGACATTAATGGTCAATGGTAGGAAATTTTCGTAACAGTTTTCTCAGCAACTACTTATCACAGCCTCCTGATATTTGGCATGCAGCATTGACACATGGTCCCATACTGTGGGATTCGATTTCAAGTCTGCAGCTCATCCACTTTCTGTTCTCATTAATGGTCAATGGTAGGAAATTTTCGTAACATTTTTCTCAGAAACTACTAATCACAGCCTCTTGATATTTGGCATACAGCATTGACACATGGTCCCATACTGTGGGATTCCATTTTAGGTGTGTAGCTAGTCCACTTCCTGTTTAACTTCTGAATTAAATTTTCGACATTAATGGGTCAATGGAATTTTTTTTTCGTAACATCACAGCCTCATGATATTTGGTGTACAAATGCAACCCGGCCTTTTCTGTCTTTGACCCATTTTTTATGCTTTAAGTTATAAAACTCATTTCGGTTGTCTGGACACCAAAATAAGATCTGGAGTCGATATGAAACCCAATTTATTAATGAAATGTCACTATTTCTGTTTTAATGAAATTTATTAAATGTAACGTATGCTTTTGTTGGTAATTTTATGACTGAATTTTGCTTTATGCTAAAATGTTTTACTGGAAACACCTAGTGAGACTGGAGACCGCATATGTACTTTTCCAACTTCTTACACGCATTGCCATTTGTGCAATCACTTCTATACAGTTTGACGAGGGGACGCCATGTTTTGCCTAATTTTGGTTAAAACACGTGAACATGTCTGCAAAACGACCCCTAAATACGCCACCATTACATGGTATGTATGATACATGCACATAACAAACATATTTTGGAACTTTTGAAAATTGTTATCGCCTTTTTTAGCTCGACTTTTTGGGTCGCTGCGCTTGCGCAGAGCGACCCAAAGTTATAAGCTACATCTGAAGCTTACTGCAAACCGAATTTCGGCTGGAATATAC